TGTCACAGAAAGCACAGAAGCTTTTCACAGTAGTTGTGTGTGTGTGTTGATGTGAAAGTGAGATCTTCTTGCAAAAAATGAAATAAAATAATAATGCTAAAAGATTTAGTAATGACTTTTTCTCTGTCAGCTCACAAGCTAAACAAGTTTAGGTTGCATTACATGTTTGGGTATGCACAGATCAAGAATCACGTGTGTGAAAATGACTGTTTGCAAATACAGCAAGGTTCAATTATTCAGAAAACAAGAACAAAAATACAAGAAAATGACACGGAATAATACTTGTTAACACCCTGTATTTCCTTTCTTTCGTAGGAACGGTTCACGGATGACTGTAAGTTCAGGGAACGTTTCCAGGAGAACAGCTACAACACTTATGCCTCAGTAATCCACAGGAACCACAGGACAGGTCGCGAGTGGTTTGTGGCCCTTAATAAGAGGGGGAAAGCTAAAATGGGCTCCAGCCCCCGGGTCAAATCCCAACATGTCTCTACCCACTTCTTGCCCAGGGTCAGCCAGCACGATAAGGGCGAGCAAGGCTTCACCATCACAGACAGTCGCAAAGAGAGGAGGAAAACCCCACTCCCACCACCTCCAAAGCCACCCGCGGCAAAGGCAAACATCCAAGCGGGAACCACACCGAGGCATACGCAAGTCAAGTACTGGCCCAAGTACAGGTTTGGATAGGTTTATAGAAATTGGACAAATGGACGTACCCCATAAACTGACAATGGTTATTTATCACATTCAAAGCATTCCAGGTATCTACGAACTGTGTGAAAAACCTCAAAGGGCTGACAGGTACAACTGCTGAGCTTTTCTTTTTCAAGCTATGACAATAGCTGGATGCTGTGTTTGAGTTAACGATCCGTGTACATACCGATGAAGCTGAAATCCACAACATTATAAGATGAGGAGTATTTGACAGAGAGTCTTCCAGTTTGTTCTGCTGTCTTGCTAGAATAAGAAGGATGCTCTTAATCTTGCAATAATGACACTACCCCCCCTACTCCTACTCCTTTCCTTGTTTGGCTAAACAAAAACGATTTCGTTCAGGACCACTGGTGCATAGGAGATTATTTCTGTCTGCAGTAATGTATTTTTGGTCACGTGCTTCTGTTCTAGACTGCCCCACCCATCCATGTGTCCAGGTGGAAAGCATAAGGCAATGTTGCCCGCCTCCTCATCTTTCTATGTTCATATATGGAAAGCTAGAAGTAAGGGAGGACAGTACCAAGAACCTTCCACGCAGAACAGCAATGACAACTGATCTGAGATTCACTGAGTCAGATGTGACGTGAAAGGAAAAGCTGCGAACTGATCTGCCAGTATCGCAGCTCGACAACATGCTATGATTGATTATGACTCGAGTGAGGACTACATAGTTTGTTTTGTTTTGTTTTGTTAAATGATAAATAAAATGATGATCAAATGAAGCTGGCGAAACACCATTGTGACTTTTCAGTCATACATCCTTTGTATGGGGGCTTTTTATTCTTCTAATAAAACATGTCATTTCAGAGGAAAATCATTTAAAATTTGCAATTATTTTATGAAATTATGTTGCGTCCAGTTTCATTAGGCCAAAAAACGTATCTCTGAAAATGTAACGTTTTATATTATGTCTAAAATTAGCAGGGAGGTGACACATTTAATTCATGAATGTGACAAAAATATAAAGCAGATAATGGATTTCAGCTTTAAACACTAAAAAATAATGAGGTCATCAATATTTTCTTGTTGGTTAAATCACACATGCTGTGATCACTTTTTGATGTAATCTGTATTTTCAAGCCACTTTTTGAGATATAACCAGTGTTGGGGAGTAACGGAATACATGTACCGCCGTTACGTATTTAAAATACAAAATA